CTCTCAGACCGCCTCCCCTGAAGGAGGAGGTCCAAGGTACCCCGTCAGTTGGCAGACTTCCAAGCCACGGCTTTTAGCGCACCGTGATAGCTTCAAGCGCGTCAGATTGATTATAGTGAGGAAAATGCGCTGAGTCGTCGACCCCACTCTCCCTTCCCATTCCCACACCCCAGCCACTGTCCGAGCCGGTCAGTAGACTGGAGTGGGGAATGGGCGCGGTGGCTGACATGGTCGACTGACCATGCCTGCGCGCGCCACAGCACGACCTGGCCCCCCATACACACAAACACCAGGATTTTACACAACGGGGGTTGAACAGCGTGTCTCTCACATGCGTGAGAGGGCCGGGGAAGGTGCTGCTTCAGCCCGTCCCCAGCCCACCAGTCCGCCACTACACAACACACACACACACAACGTGACGAACTGCGTGAACCGAGAGCGGGCCTCAATCAGCAACCTTCCTATCCACGACGCTTGACGTGTCGGGATAGTCTCGAACACAAGTCACCCGTGCAGCCGAAACCGCATGGGGACCGAGTCGAGATGCACACTTCCCACTTGCGTGGGAGGCGGCAGTTGAGTGCATGAGGTGTGTGGGGGTTGATGTCTGGTGGGGTGATGGTGCTAGGAGGTAGGGGGTGAGGGAATGTTTGGTGTGACCAGCGGTTGTCTACCGCAGGTCGTCGTGGATGCGCATGTGGCCGAATAGACCCATGCGATGCGTGAAGGTGCGAGTGCAGTGTGGGCAGTGGAGGCGAGTGCGGTGGGTGTAGGTTGGTGCTCCAGGTACTGGTTCGCCAGTCCCTGTGCGATGGATTCGCAAGTGACCCACCAGGCCGATGCGTGAGGTGAAGGTGCGTGGACAATGTCGGCATGAGAGGTCAGCGGTGTCGGTGTCAGCTGTGTGGCTGCTGGTGGGGCTCAAGAATGCTCCAAGGCACAAGGGGACTAGGGAGTCCCACGACGCGATCAGTGAACACCCCCTACCACAGAATATCTCTTACTGTTATCCATGCTGCACATATTGATATTAGCTGTGCCGCTGTTTGTGGGGCTCTGGATCGAGTCCCAAGACATAAAGGTGGTGAGTAGGTCGGTGGGTGCTCTGTACCATAGTTTATATATATTTATATAGATAATGGTAGGGGGCGCGCATCGATCGTTCTTACAGAAGTCACTCGTTCCGTTGTGCCTAACGGGCTCTCTCTCTCGAGCCCAACCAGTAGCCGCACAGCGGCGCATGATATCGGCAGTCTGTTATTACCGACAAAGACAAGGGAGACTGGAGCGGCCCTTTCTGGCTTATCAGCCGTCGTCAGCCAGTGATACCCAAGCCCGAAGTGTGGAACACGCGAGGCTTGAACTCGCGACCTGTCTTTGTCGGTAAGAACATACTGCCTATATCCTGCGCCGCTGTGCAGCTACTGGTTGGGCTCGAGAGAGAGCCCGTAAGGCACAACGGAACGAGTGAGTTCCGTAAGAACAATGGGTTCGCGTCCCCTACCATTGTATATTCCCGATCGAAACCGACAGGAGGTCGGGTTCGTGACCCAGCGTTTAGAGGCGTGGACTTCTAACTAACAGGCCGCGAATTCGAGCCTCGGTTTTTCCACACTTCGGGGTTGGGCATGACTGGCTGACGACGGCTAATAAGTCAAAAATGGCCATTCCAGTCTACCTTATCTTTGTTGGTAAGAACATACTATATATATAGATATATATAAAGACAACTTCTTACAGGTCGTCTTTACTCGAGTCTGCAGTTAAACCAGTCGTAGGGTTGGTCATAGCAAAGCAGTTGTGAGACGGAAGCAGGTAAACCGTTGGTGTGTGGGGCCAACTACGTCCCTCCTGTCTTCTAAGGCCTAAAGCCTTCTGGTGGGCGCCAACTACTTCATCTGTGATACTAGGAACTACAGCTGGATTAAGTGTCCACGAATAATTCGGGGGATAAAAATGATAATGCAATTAATGGTTCCGCTGGTAACGTATGTGGTATCGGATCCTTAAGATCATTTCATTAGTAACTTAACCCATTTTAGCCAGATTTAAACCATTACATATGAAATCATCTATAAGGGAGACCAATTTCTGATATTTCCTGATTTTCATTGTAGCTAGTTGGCGGAAATTATTGTCGAACGACTACTTTCAAATTAGGTATCCAGGGGACATAATTAGCACTTCAGGTTAACTGCATGATCTGCGCGTCCAGCATATTAGTAGAACTGTCAAGTCACTAATTACCAATTGAGCAATAGTTATCATTTTCCAGCTCATGCCCTTTGATCCTCTAATTAATGCTTATAATGCGTTCCTTCCTTCGCATCCATTAATTTCCTTATATACGCTCCCATCAAGTCAGTGTCTGTTTAATAGTTTCTAGTCTGACGATTCGTAGAACAAACGCATAATGGAAATGCAGTGGATCGTCCACAGTCGAAAGCAACTGCCATTTTAATCAACCGTCGATTTGCACTTTGCGTCTGCGGTCCCACAAACAACAGTCCATACCCACTCAGCTAGAATTCAGAATTAATTTCAAAAGTCGAATCTGGTATACCCGTGCGATTTCTTCGGCTAGCGTGAAACAACAGCTACTCTCGAATTTCACCTAAATCAACATATGCTTTTGGGGTCTCAACAAAATATGAAATCGAAGCGGCCTCTCCAAAATATTCAAATACAACACGTGAATAGGTACCCTCGCAGTAAGGGTGACCTTACGCAAGATTCCAAAAAAGGAACCTCTACCCCTGCCCCAACCCTGAAATTGAACCTAGTCTTTCTGTACTATGACGCAAGGCCACCATATTACTTTATTGCGAACTGATACAAAAGGGCTAAAATTGGAAACGTCCGACTACAGCGCACAAACGTAAGCTGCTGTATCAGACGCTAGAGAATCTTAGTGAATAAATCGAGAGAACAACGGAGTGAGGGGGGGAGTTGGACGTGGATTTGCGGCTTAATATAACTAGCGCAGGATATGGGTTTTTGACAAATGGCACAATCCCTCACTTCACGATAGTTCGACCGTCGCATCCGGCGATGTCCACCGTATGCCCCACAGACTGCATGTGGGAGCAGGGACGGTGACTTGCGCGGGGGGTTTATAGTGCCAGTAGACTTGCGCTGCACCTACCACACTCTCTAACCCTCCCCCGCCTGTATTTATCGTCACTTCACACACACTGTCAATAGTTCTCATGGGGTATATATTAGAGAATAGTCGTATACATGCTCCACTGACACGCGCAATTCTATACTTGCAGAACCAGCTGCCTCCATCCATGACAGGTGTGTAAGCTTCTGAATATGGGTTAATTCATGTTAAACCACCAAGACAGTGCACAAGGTCTTGACAAAAAGGGTGAACAGTCCTCTCTCTTTATTTGTTGTCTTCAAGTAGAAGTTGCTTTATGAAAGAAAGCATTGAGCTCTCGTGCGATAATATCGACGAAGCAAACGACGGCTTTGGCCCTATCCGTGAATATTATAAGGGAATTACACTTTCAAATCAGTGGGCAAAGTTAGGGAAAAAAAGCAAGATTCTTTGAGCGTCACCCCTAGATCCAGTTATGTTTGACTCTTAACTGGAAAGCTGGTGGAGACTAGATGTGTAATGGTAGCCAAACGGCATCATGGTTAGTAGCACGTTTTCGCCGCTTGCGTTTATACTCTCCGTTTCAGTGATTTTAACTGTTCATCGTCCCACTGAATTAAACACATCATCCCGCCTGAACGCAGCAAATTTTTGAGAACGAATGATGGGCACATATAATGCAAATGCATATGCAATTGCAATGGCCCGACGGCAAACATAAAACGACTGTACTAAAGAACGTTTCTCAGGGGTTCTCGGATGAGGAGATTATTCAAGTACCTTTTCTATCCAATCATAATTTCAGCAGCATTCTACAGTTCTGTAATCACATTTAGGCATAATTAGCAGACAGTAGAACTGTAGTAGCTCTCTCTTGATCCTCCAGGTTCGCAGGGTCGAAAGCTAGTGAATGTGGCTAGCAACCTTCTCTGACCTCAACGCTTGTTGGACCTGGCAGTTCGGCCCTTTTGAGAACATCACTGCAGCATAAATGCAGGTCGTGCAAAGCGGACACTTTCCCCACAGTCTTATTTAATATTCATGGCTAGCCGTTGCTTATGGACTTTTTCAGACCACTTGGTCTGTCAGCATGCCCTTGCTTTTACTTTATACAAGAAAGTTTCAAGCCGTTTGCACTATGAACTGAGCTCTCCATATCCCCAATTCGGGGATCCTTTTAAGGCCTGAAAAAGTAGAAAAGTCGGAGCTCACAAAGGTCTTCTATTGCCAGACTTTCTTCGCCTAGTTTTGGTTTATAAGAAAGCCAGACCCGTAAAAACAACCGATTTTTGTCATTCCCTGGGTGTAAATGTGCACGTCGTAGAAGGCAGACCACAGGCAAACGGCATATATCCGTCCGAACAGTCTTTTATTATTTACTGTACTTGAAAGTGAGCAGTATGCTGTGAAGTTTTTGTATTCTGAAAGCTTTCCCAGCACCCAAAACATTCGTGGTTAAGGCATGCTTCGAAATGCGTGTGTGTGCTTCATTCATTTGCAAACACCATTACCTTTGGCCTGCGGGGTTAACAGGTACGCCTCGTCGTTGATGTCGTTGTCAACAGCTCGAAATGAGCTCCACCTGAAAGGGAGCTAGATTTATTTCAATCACCTGTCCACCCCACCCCACACCCTGATCCACCACATGGTTTTACGACTGCTGGTTTGTAAAGCACCTGGCAGACCCCCTCATCCCCACCCTCGTACTAGCATGAGACGAGAAATGTCCCATAAGCCGCCCACGTTCACGCAACCGCATGTCTCTCCCCCCTCCCCCACCCCACTGTGACCGTCCCCAGTGCATCAACACCATACCGTGGTCTGAAATATAGCACTGCTCCACTAACCCACGTAGGAGTACAAAGGTTGGTCCATGGTTAAGTGGGAACTTTTGTTAACCTGAACTGGGGTAATCAATAATTTGTGGTAATACTCTCATTTTTTTCAATAAATCCTCGGCAGCCCGATGTAGGTATACGGAGGCACTGTTGGTGTCGACATAGCAGCATACAGCATGCATCCAAAGATAAAAAAACAGTTGGCCAAATATTTCGACATATTTTCAGCTAAAATGTATGGGCAAATAAGAAGAAGAAGAAGATGATGATGATGATCATGATGATGAGGAGGAGGAGGAGGAGGAGGAGGGGAAGGGGGAGGTGGAGGTGGAGGAGGAGGATTATGGCGGTGGCTGTGGTGGTGGTGCCTGTGGTGGTGGTGGTGGTGGTGGTGGTGGTGGTGGTGGTGGTGAAGGGCGGAGGAAGAGGAATAAGAAACGAGACTGATCGGGCACCTGAAGCATTTGTTTATTTGTCTGAGCTTTCGAACTCACGCAGGAGCCCAGTGCCAGAGACAAAAGCATCAACATTACTGGTGGCAGTTATTGGGGTTATTCCTCAATCAACCATCGGTGACGTACTTTTAAAAGTGACTGTCCAGGACTCCGTACGCAGAAGCCAGATCAATACGTCGATTGGCTGAGTTTTCATCTGAGGCTCAGGGGTTTCAGTCAATTTTCTGCTTGCCTCGTTTCCAGCACGGGCGATTACCTTGGTGGAAGCGAAGTTAAACTCGCGACCCCCTTCAAAGGTGTGATCAGCCACTAGTGTTAATGCATCAGTCAAAAGGTATGTAAGCATGTGCGCTATGCCAGTATCAGCAAACCATGGCCCTCGCAGTTTCATATGTGCTGGTAATTCCCTGACACCTGATTCCCTGCCAGTAGTTTCGCTCGCGCTCCCGCTGGGTATACAAGTGGTGGGCACGGCTGCCCACACATCATCCTCGTCCTTCTGACACCTGCTGGGATTCAGTAAATCAGTATAATTCGGTATATATGAGGGATAGAGGCAGAGCCTTGGAAAACCCTATTTACTGGATGTTGATGTCGCTGCTGCTGCTGCTGCTGCCGATGTTGGTCAAAACGCCGGTCATTTGCTGCGTGGATAAGGGGGTGTTGAGTGGCAAATCAAGCTTCGGACTCGACGGCGCCGTCCACCTGCACCCTCCTCCCTCCAGTCTTCCTGACTCTCTCTGTTTACCCCGGGTCCAGATGTGCAGTGCGGTAGATGCTTCGAAAGTCCGGTATCACTATAAACTAATTCACGTGTAAGTCATCGTGCCTGCTCTCAGTTCGCTGTGGAGTACAAGGTGTATATCGTCGGACACGACGGCCGAACTGTAATTCTCAGCCCCATCGTCAGACTGACATCTGGACTAGCCCAAAATGCCATATAATGGGTCCAGATGGGGAGTGAGGAAGAGAGAATGCGGTAGATGCTTTGCGAGTCTGGTATCACTATAAATCGATTCACGCGCAAGCCGCCATGCTTCTTTCTGTGTAGCACACGGTGAACATCGTCGAAATCGACAGCTGAACTGTCATATTCCCGGTCACAACCGACAGGAAACGAGCCCGTGGCTCAGTGGATAGAGGACGTTGGACTTCCATACAACAGGTCGCGGGATCGAGCCTAAGGGGTTCCACACTTCGGGGTTGGGTATGCATGGCTGACGACGGCCAATGAGCCATAAATGACTATTCCATTCTCCTTTGTCTTTTGTCGGTAATATTACTCTGCCTATATTGCGCACCGCTGTGCTGCTGGTGATTGGACTTGAGAGAGAACCCTAAGGCACAACGGGATGACTGAGTTCCGCAACACGATCAATGAGCGCCCCCCCCCCCCCCAAAAAAAAGACAACGTTCTATGCATTTTGCCACGGATGCTATTGGTGATTGATAGAACGTTAACAGAACATTTTACATCGTAAAACACATGATCAAATTAAGGTAGACTGGCTTCTAGGAAAGATAGGAATAATCAGAGGGCGTTTATGGCAGATGTGCGCAACACATGTTTACTCCGAAAGGTCCCAAATTGCTCGAAAAATGTCACATGCGCACTAGTCGTACATACGCCCACACCAGTCCGTGGTCCGAGCATAGACTTCCGAGCGCAGTTTAGCCAGTCTGCAGGCCGAAAGAGCAGACTGAGTCACAGAACAAGAGCTGTGCTCCCCTCCTCGTTTCCATCAGATATGTCACCTGACAATAAATATTCCTTAAGGAGCTAGAAATGACATACCTTTCGATAACACTATACTGGATGATAGTAAACAGTCGACCACTACTCCTATAATGTCACATTCACAAGAACAATATGATACATAATCCAATATTATTTTGACAGCTTTGATTGTGACTTACCATTGAATGTCTCTTACTCCTGATATATATATATAAATATATATATATTCATCTTTTCCAGCTCTTCGTCCAGACAACTATGGCAAACCTCCTAAACAACACGAACGACTGTGCGACCTCCCCCTAGCATCTGACCAGATGGACTGACAACTGGCAACTAGAAGACACCCACAATTATTCAACTCTACGATAATTTCAAGGTCACGCCGGTATCAAAGATTTCAATTTCAATGAAGGACATACTATTCACGCCTCCAAAAACTACCAAACTGCACACTTCAATTTCTGTATTGTACATATCGTTCTTTATAAAACTTTGTCGATTAATTTGCCTTGGAACTCAGGTTTTTTTAACTTAAACTCTTAATTTGCGTTCTATTGGCTAAACAGACACCCAAAACAAATGAAGTCGAAGTGCAGTCGAAACGGATGAGTTTGTTTTAGGTTTTCTTGAGATCAAAAGGGGACCGTCAGGGCCCAAGGGACGCTATAATAAACCTATTCTATTCCACAATACGTGACCCATCTCATGAAATCTGATAGCGGAAACTGATGAGAGAATTTCTGGACATATTTAACGTTGCGCATTGTATTTGCTCATCCACATCCTTCAAAGAAATGTCCTTTTCTTGTGCAGAGAATGTGTTTAAGTAATTATATCGGGGTAAACATCAGCACATTTCAGCAAAAATGGTCGTTGAGATATATTTGGGCAATTTGCTATGCTAATGCATGTCCTATACTCCGGTTACGCATCTTAACGACTTTTTCATTGAAATGATAATAATTTGCCTGCAAAATTTTTAATAAACAGATTTAGCCGAACTTGAAAATGTATTTTAATTTCGATGTTAACCGTAATAATCAAAATGCTAACACAAAGATTATTTTAAGAAAACCAGAGGTTTTATCAATTCCTAGATGTCAAATTAGCATATCTGTGTGATTTGCAGTGATAACGCAGATAGGTTTTACCTCGTTTAAATGGGCTGAACTTGTTTAGCCGTTTGGAAAATCCTAACTGTTGTCACATAAATGACCACCATCAAATGGTCATTTCCAGTTTCGAACATACGAAACAGTACTTGAAACATTATGGACACTACGAATTACTATGAAACACTACTTGCATACCTTATTCAATAATAGAACCAGCAAAACTTTAAAAGTTTCCGCAAAATAACAGTATTTATATGGGCGCCCGGCCGCGCATTCATAATAGAAGAACGGAGTCCAAAAGCGAGCAGAAACAGTGGAAATAGCTTCAATGTATAGAGAAAAGCATAGTCTTACGTTCACGGTAGCAAAAACAGTATTGTTTAGGAATGTGAGGGAAACGGCCGAAAGTGCCCAATTTTTACTTGACCTCACCGTGCAAAAATGCAAAGTACACAGACCTACGTCAACGAAGTGCAGTAATAAAGCACTTATTAAGGAAAGTTTTCTTATTGGCCGAGGGAATACTTGTTGCTGACTTTCGTTGTGGACAGCCATTTTTCTCGAAAATGAAGTTTGCTGTTTAAATGAGTCTTCAAATGTGACCTAAACGACCATATTCGTGAAAAGCAGCTCCCGAACACTCACATATTCAGTAAATGCCTTCAAGAATAATCTTATATTAAAGTTCTCAACGGACAGGTAATTCATAATCTGTCTTTACGGACGATCGGGTGAAAACACTGAAAACCATGAAGTATTCAGAAATATGTCGAGGTCGATCTAAAACTCAACGCTATCCAAAACGAACGAAAAGTGTAAATTAATTTAACGGAAGAAAAGTGCACACATCGTCGAATGAACACATCCAGACAAATGATCACTTCGTAGTGCACCGTTCATGTCTCACATCCACAGGAGACGGACTACTCTCAACTTGGAATACAGGCTGATTTCACGCCGAACGCAGAGATTTCTGTGCAGTCAGGCCGGGTCTGTATGCACTCTCAATTAATTCGATGATTGTTTTCAATCCCTCCTTCCCCATTAAGTAAAATTGAAGGACTTTTAAGGACCTATCCTCGATTCTAAAGCAGCTAAACAGAAAGAGATTGTGAACTCAGAGTGCTGCAATCAGAAGGTCGAGTCCACTGTAGTAGGAGAAGACTGAAGTCGCAAGATTGAGGGGCCTGTTCTATACAGAACCCTGAGTTGTCCTCTCAGGCGACAGGGGTCGCTGGCGAAGCCAGCGCTGGTGATGACTACTGCGTCGTGCCTTAAAGTTACTGGGACAGTGGTGGCAACTGCATTTGGCGGTTTGTGGGGCAAGCTCAAGTGGTGTCCCATCTGTGCGTGCTTGCATTTGCCGAGGGGAGGTGTTCAAGTGGCTTTTGTCGCAAGTGGCGCGTGGGCGGCTGCGACTCTGTGGACGCCCGTTTGTTGTTGAAGTCGTTGGGAGTGGCCGCAGGTCGGCGCGTCTGGAATCGCTCGCTGCGGAGGCGAACGGCCTTGAGGTCTTGAACAAGGATGCCACTTGGCCGTCAGCAAAAAACCTACTTCCGCTGCCTCCCGATTATCCAACAAGGAGCGCGCCAGAACTGTAATTGTGTTAAGCGTAGTGAACATCCTTAACGAGGGGTCCATGATCCACAGTAACGCCAGAATTAACCCACTGCGCTTTTTGAAGAGTCCAGTTCATCGGGCAGTTGAATAGAACTGCTGACATAAAGCAACCCTGATGGGACATCGAAACTTCACTCTGCTCAATATTCAGACGTTATAATAAACTTATTCCATTCTATTCTACAGTACGTGACCTATCTCATGAAATCTAATAACGGAAACTGATGCGATAATTTCTGGACATATTTAACGTTGCGCATTTTATTTGCTCATCCACATCCTTCAATGAAATGCCCTTTTCTTGTGCAGAAAATGTGTTTAGGTAATTATATCAAGGTAAATATCAGCACATTTTAGCGAAAATGTTCGTCTGGATATATTTATGCAATTTGCTGTGCTAATAAATGTCATATACTCCGGTTACGCATCTGGGCGACTTTTTCATTGAAAGAATAATAATTTACCCGCGAAAGTTTTAATAAACAGATTTAGCCGAACTTGAAAACGTATTTTAAT